AGTCCCCAGGTGGCGTTGTCAGATTCTGGTGGCGGTTCCCCTCTTGGCGTCACAACTGTGTATATAAAAAGGTTCCTACACACACAGCGGCCAGCTGAGACGCTGAGCTGTCGCGGTGGAGACGGTGATGTTTAGTTGGCTCCAAACTACGGAGTTGCTGACAGCTATGCTCATTACTGTAAATACATGCAATAAAACCTTTGCGCGTAAAAACACATTACTATATCAATGTAGAAAGGGTTCATTTAAACTGCTCAGTCGCTCATCCTGTATGTTTTATTACCAGCAAAGCTAATGTTGGCTTGGCATTAGCCAAATGTTATAAACAAGCAAAAGCTGTAGCATAAACTGGTCTGTAAAATCTGGCACGTTGTTGTAAACTGAGCTGCTGGCTGAGATAAACCAGCCGCTCCTCCTTCGACAAGGTAATGTTACCTGCAGGCAGTGAATAACAGCAGAGAGGAGGAAGGACTACAGACTGAATTTTTTTTAATCACTCAGTATTGTGACGTCAGATGTTGAGTTTATTTGCTGCTCTAGAAACATTTAGCTGTATTTAAAATATAATCTAATCCTATAACTTTAAAATAACCAGGCAGTTAATATGTACACTTCAGTATGTATTTATCCCAAGTAATGTTTAATCTCGATATACAACAATGTTATCGCACATTAAATATTACCGTGCAGGCCTACCTCATGACCTTTGGGTCATGTCTTACCAAATAACTGTCGCCAAATAAAAGTATCATATTGATAAAGACTCAGATCATTAAGCAGTCTCAATAAGGGCATCAATAAAAATTAACTATTCCTATTGCCACACTTCCCCTCCTTTCCCCTCAGTCCAAATGATATAGTGTTGGGGGAAGTATTCATATTATTTTAGTGAAAGTAGCAACATGCAGAAAAAGTCCTGCCTTTTTAAACTTAAGTAACATTAGTGTTGGCAACAACATTCACTTAAAGTATTAATAGTATAAGTACTTGTTTTGCTAAATGACCCCTTTCAGAGTGCTATGATTGTACATTTTATAGTAGGCTACTGAATTATTGTGATTGATGAATTTCATGTATATGAGCATGTTTATGTTTTATCTAGTTGAAGTGGAGCTAATTTTATACACGGTTGGGTATTTTAATTTATAAAAAACCATTGTATTTCATTACAATGTATTTTTTTTGTATAAAATCTTAATGTGAAAAGTAACATAACAAATAGTACTAGTACAATAGTGTAAGTAGGCCTACAATATACAAAGTATATTTCCATCTGAAATGTGGTAGAGTATAAATATAAAGTAGCAGAAATTTTAAATACTCAAAGTTTAATGTCATACTTTTTTAGTTACTTTACTTTTACTTACTTTTCCCGCAACTCCCCCCAACCTGTCCTGTTCAAGCTTTTCCAGTATTTTGCCTGGTGCTTTAACTTAAATGAACCATGGTGATTCGCCGTGCAGACTGCGTGGGACTGAGAAGTGAGTGAAGTTTATGATATTGCACTGCCACGCTTCAACGGGGATGACAGAAAAGCATGCAGGCCAGTATCTTTTTAACTAAATTAGTGATGAATCACCCACATGCATCAATCATACATAAATAATAGCTTATTTTTACACATGATGCATGATGATGAAGCTAAAGAGGAAAAACAGTCAATATTAGAGAGATGCCCACATTTTCATTAACCATGTTTTTAGGCTCATGAGCTCATGACTTATTAAGAGGAGCACAAGCTCCCCTGGTTCCCCTGTGGTTTACACCCTGAGTACAGTACAGTTCCCCTAACCTCAGACTACAGCCTTTACATTTTAAACAAAAGTGCACCATTTAGCAACTACAGAGCCAGATGTTTCCTTCAGAAGTTGTTGTAGACAAAATTGAGCTAAATGAAGTGTCTATATTGGACTTGTCCGGTGGACACAAACACGACTCCAAATATATGCTAATGTTAGCAACAGTTTACTAACACATTTTGACTGTATTAGATTATGATAATTTTAAAAAGTCAGTGTCATGTTTATACATTGTTGCTTTGCCCCCAAGTGGCCAAAAAGTTTAAATTTGACAATATGACAAAAATGTATAAATATTAAGATTACAAAATGTTTTCCTTTTACTGTGGAAAAGGCTTTACACTGGCAATTAGACCTTCATGTAGGGAAATAAAAATGTACAGAAAACCATAACTGAACATTTTACTGAATACATCAAATAACAAAAGAAAACTTTTATTTATTTTTTTTTTTTACAGACTTTCTTTTTGATGCTGTGTCAAAAAGTAGGTAGCATGAGCTATATATTTAGAAAATTCTGGATACTTAATGGAACATGAATTAATGTTCCCCGAATTGCCCCTGGCGGCTGTTCCGCCAGTGTATGAATGTGTGTGAATGGTAAATGCAGATGTAGTGTAAAAGCGCTTTGAGTGGTCGAAAAGACTGGAAAGGCGCTATACAAGTACGGAGCATTTACATTTATTAAATAGGTACTTGTGAATATTAACTGAACAATGTGAAAGTATACTGTAATTAGAAGGGTGTTTCCATTTTTAGCCATGCATGAACACGGCTGTGATTTGTGAATGTGCGAAGATCTGTAGGAAGTAAAATGTCCACTAGCCACTTGGCCTTGTACTTCAGCACACAGACCTATTTTATGCTGCTTTGATGTGATGGGGTTGAAAAGCTCCGTGCAGTTTTTAATAACCACTGAGAAATCCATGCTGTGCTGTGGATGAAAGGACAGGCAGACAAATAATGGTTTAATATAATGAAGCCTGAAAAGAAAAGTTGTTTTATTGGTCAGGGACTGAACTTGGGTCTCATACATAACATGATAGATGGATGGATAGATATCTTATATGTAATTAATAAATAACAAAGGTAAATACAAGACTGCCATCATAATGTCACAACATACAATTAAATTACAGAGGATAAATACACCATAAAGTTAAAAAAAAATTTCCATTATTGTCCTCATTAAAATGGAAAAGGGAAGAATGACCGATCTTCAAGGCAAGACAGGTTAAAAACATACAAACTTATGATGATATGACCATTTCTTTACTAAAAGTTAAGGTTTGAACTCTTGGATCTTATTGGTGTTTTCCATATAGAGTATTTTATTGGAGCAAACACTATACCTAAGGCAGAAAGCTTGTCCATATACTTTTGTGTTCTTTTGGACTGAGGCTGTCTTCCATAGTTTGGGTTAGACCCTAGTGTCAATTGTCAAAACAAACGGTCATTATTTATGTTTCAGTGCCACCTGCTGGACATTTTTAATAGCAGCTGACCTACAACCAAAATCAACACTTATTAGCATTTATATCAGCTGTCCCCCAAATATGTCCAGACAGATTTATCTCTAATTAGGCCAGCTCAGAGTCCTTCTCCACTGGGCCGTTAATTGGACAGTATAAGACCAGCTACAGACTTGGTGAAAGTGTTGTCCTTGTGACCAGATAGAATCGGTCACGTCCTGGCATGACAATTTTGACAGATTGAACAAGCCAGAGCTCTTGAAGACTGGGGATCCAGTTTCTGACCCAAATGTCAAGTCTTCTCTGTTCTTGACACTTGTGGGGGGGAGACGCGAGCGAGGAACGGGAGACAGGTTAGGTAGGTATTTATAGAAATGCCAGGGGAGGCATGATTGAGGTGTGGTCCTGCTCATGAAACTCTGATAGTTGGCTTCCATGCAGGATCTGGTGGCTGGAATTTGAAATAGTCAGGCTCTTTCCCTCTGTTTCCATCTGCTTGCTGTAGCTTCAAATGTGGCTTACAAACATAAGAGTGACATTAATCTTCTCATGTAAGTGTCAGCAAAAAAGCAAAGAAGTCTATTTCTCAAAATGTCGAACTACCATATTTCTTTAATGTTGAAGTATGTAGTGATATCAGTATAGCTGAAAGGTAAAAAAAATGTCCTATTGGTTTCAATTATTTCCCTTTTCTTATATAACTTGTTTCACAATATGTGAATAAAAAAAAACAAATATGTGAATGCTGGGAAGATTTGAGGTATTGACACTTTTATTATTATTAAAATCCTAAATCTGAAGCCAAAGCAGACTAAAGAAATATCTACAATAAATACAATCTTGACATTTTAACTGTTAACAGCTGGGTTCTGATTATTATGACAGACATTGCTTCAACTAATACATATTTGAAACTGAAACTATGTTCCCAGATAAGACAGATTTCTTTGTCTGATTATTTGATCATCAGAATAGTTGTTGATTAATTTTCTGTCAGTTGACTAATTGATTAATCAAGTAATTGTTGCAGCTCTATATGTTTGGGGTCAAGAGGTCAAACTCCCTGTTAGACATTTTATAAACAAATTCAATATAAGACAATACCTTATTAATGCCTGTTGTATTTTAAACATGTTTTATGGCTATGGTGTAATCTGTAATGCATTAATTTTCTATATCCGTCATCAGTACAAAATCATGTTTATAAGCAATTCTTACAAAATTACGCAATTACGAATTTTAGAAAGAAAAGCAATGTGTCAACCTTATATGTGCATTGTAGATAGCAGGATTTCAAATGGTGTATTTCTTCAAAACATCGGAGTATCCACTGAGAAGCAGATTTGTGTCAACATTCAAAAGACAGCGAGAGTCTTCTAGTAATAAAGAATGACCTCTCCTCCTCTCCTCTATTTTAACACATTCCCCATAGTCATGATAGAATGACTGATATTTTTTGAAACCTTCATGCAGACTACGAAATATAAATACTGCAATTTGCTTCATTGTGTAACGGTTTGACTTAATTAATTAGCCCGGTGGTAAAGCTCTCATCACATGGGTGCAAAGCTGCTGCCATTCAGGGCCGTTAATCCTTCTACCTAGGCTACTGTTGTCTCTATATGTTAATGCACACTGTACCGCACAGCCTGCTCCTCTGTGCGTCCTGACATCCTCTGTTGTACAGTAATAGCTCTTAGCGATGTGTTATGCCGTTGAGTGAACAAAGGCGTGTCCCAGAGCCATGCATATTATAACAAGGCAAGCTGCGATACGTTTTGGCACGCCAGTCCTCAGCTCTCTGTTCACCAGCAGACTCACCGGCAACAGCAGACTCTGTACGATGGCTGAGCTTTCCCCCCCCGAACAAGTGGTATTCAACAAGCCAAAGGTACAGTATCAGCCGGTAGGCTAAACTGTAGAATGAGCATTAATAATTTAAATGGAAATGTGTTTGACGGGCGAACTTTTTCCTGGTTTTACGCACGTTAGGGTTAGTGCCCGAGACCCAAATAATAGGCTACGAAGAAGCCTGTTTAAAGACATAAAGGAAGAAATCAAGTGTTTGATTAAAATACATTGTATTATTATTTGCCATTATCGTGTGTGTGTGTGTGTGTGTGTGTGTGTGTGTATAGCCTATGTGTGTTTGATGCCAGTAGTTGGAACACGGAAGAACCTTTCCGTTGCTTACAGTTTGACGTGTGGCTTTAAACAAGACACTGTGATGAATGAAAGGACAGATAGGCTATTTATTTTCACTGAGTAAGTCCAAACAGCTTTCTCTTGCTTCTTTATATAATTACGACAAGGTAGCACATTGTTCTGTAATGAGTGTAGTTATTTATTAATACATGTTTGTGGGATGGAGGGATTCACGTTAAATAAATGCGAGCGTCTCATCACTGCAATAGACACACAGAAAACACTTTGCATTATTTTGCCTGATTTCTTTATGGAAGCACTTTTATTTGCCGATAGATACAACTGGCGCGCACAACAAAGCCTGCCCAAAGTGAACTGTACCTTTAATTGTCAGGTAGCGTGACATGCGCAACCGGCCCACATACGTGAAACGTATAGTGCCCTTTGGAGTTTGGTGCTGCACCTGGTCTGCCGAGGAACTGACGGCTGATAAGAAATCATCCTATTAAATATTAATTTGCTGTTGTAGACCTGATACCACTCCTGGGGTCATTGTGGCAGTAACCTGCACCGGTTCACCATCCATGCATCTTACACTGACATTAATTGTAGTATATAGCTACAGGGTTACAGTGTGTGATCATGTAGGGCTGAAACTACTGATTACTTTCATTACTGATTAATCTCCTGATTAATTCCTCAATTGATTGATTATTTGTTTGGTCTATAAAATGCCAGAACATAGTGGGAAACATATTCAGTTTATAATGATATAAAACAGAGAACAGCAGCAAATCAGTGGAACTGAAAGTGGAACCAGCTAATATAGCATTTCTGCTTGAGAATTTACCTAAACAGTTATAGATTGTCAAAATAATTGCAATTAATTGTTAGTTGATCAACTAATCAACAAATCAACTAATCATTTCAGCTCCAAGACAAACTAGACTGTTTGCTTTCAGTGAGTTTCTGTTCTGGTTTGGACTCAGAAGAAAATTATTAAAGGACAAATATAGACATAAATAAAAGGCTGACACAGTTGCAGAGGGCATCCACTGTAATGGATATTTACTGATTCATTAATGAAATGTCAGAAAATTCAGATGTTTTGTTGGTTGTCCAGATCAAAACCTAAAAAGATTCATTGTACAATGATACAAAACAGAGAAAAGTAGGCAATCATCACAATTGAGAAACTTAAACTATAAACATTTTACATGAAACCTTTCTTTCACTATGAACATCCTATATTTAGTGGCTTCACAAAATTGCGTAATAGAACCCTTTCAGTGGAGAATCAGCAAGAGGCTGTTGTGCAATAACACATTGCAGATTTTAATTCAGTATAAACTCTAACTCTTATATAAGTTACTACAGAAAGTGATGTGTGTATACTGAAAGAATTGCCACAGGAACTGCAGATGGGTTAACCAGCTGTTTGTTGAACAACTCTGATGCTCCAGTGTCACGGAAACCAGGCTTTTAAAGAAAGAAAACAGACATAAACAAAAGAGAAACTCAAACAGTTTTAATAGAAGACTTCACTTCTTGTTGAAAACATCAAATCTTAAGAACATTTTCCATCTGTCACACAGATGCACACAGCTGCTTTACTTTCTAAAAGAAGAGGGAAGCAGGTCTGAATAGCAGTCTGTCATAACTTGGGCTGCAACTAACAGTTATTTTCATTATCTATGAACTTGTTACATGTTATTTTCTTGATTAATCAAATAATAATTTGACGCACATATCATCAGGAAATACTGAAAAAGTACCTTCAGATTCCAAGTGATCTCTGCAAGTCCAAAGCGGTCAATTTAAATGTCTGTGTTGTCTAACTAAAACACAAATATATTAAATTTGCAAGGATATAATACAAACAAAAGCAGCAAATCTTCACATTTGTGTTTTCAGCTGTATACACCAGAAAGATTTGGTTTATTGAAAGCTGGTGGCTGGTGTAGTTTTTTTCTAAAAACATGATCCAGATTTTTATTTGTTTGTCTTTAGTTTTTATTGCAATTTTGAAATCCAAAATAATGAAATAAAATGTTCACTGACAGTGGCATTTGTGTCTCAAAGGGATCTTTAATCAGGAACAACCCCTTATGTTGTAGGCTAATCTCCTGCAGCATTTCCTTTAATGACTGATGAATGAGTCAGGTTTAGATTCATGAGGTTTGATCAAAGAATGTTAATTTAATCACTGAGTCGTGTTGAACCAGTTGAACCTTACACACTGCTCATGTGGTTCTTGGATAAAAATGTGTTATTTTCCCTGCCCAGTAAGAGGGAGGAGGGGGAAGCGTTCAGCATCTGTACCTCATTTAAATTTCATCATTTTAGAAACTCTCTCAATAAACTGCAAGTAGAGGGACACACTGTACACTTCATTCATTTTAATACACAGGGTGGGTCTGAACCCTGATTGCTCTTTGAGGTGATTTGTGATTGTTAAAGTGTTTTGACCATTACCATATTTCCTGCGTGGATAAACATCCCTCTAGTTGTCATCACATTTTGATTAAAGAATTTTAGCTTAAACCTGATTGGTACATGGAAGGATGTGACATCACAGTTTTCCAGCGAAGCCCTGATTAATTTTAAATCAGTGAGAGAAGCGTAAACAAGAAAAACTGAAATCTCTCATGTGAAATAACTAATACTGTTAATGCAACAATCATTGATTAATCTGTTCCAGACCAACAGTCCAACACCCCCCAAATTTTCAGTCATATGTTACAAAAAAGAGTTACAAATTCTCACATTTAGTTTTTTTTTTTTTTCATTTTGCTTGAAAAATTACCAAAACACTGAATTAATTCAAAGCAGCAAATCATCACAGTAGAAAAGCTAGAACCAGAGGATGCTTGATGGGGTGCTTGAAAGGGAACTAATCAAGGGAGGGATTAATCAATTATCAAAATTATATAAAGTATAGTAATGGAACAGAAACTGATGAAGAGAATAAGTTTTCAGGGCTTTTAAGGAATAGATGCATAGGGTATGTCAGTGAATGTCGAAGAATTAACTGAGCCACAAGAATAGATAAAACTTTGGTTTTGCTGTTGTGGAAGATCAGGGTCAGTGCTCCCAGCTGCTTCTTTTGGTGCACATTAGGAGATTTAACTTATTACCATAACCATACTTGTCATTCTCTCCTTCATCATCACTTCCAACCAGAAATAAGGATTACTGATGAGAGTCTTTTAGGCCTCAGTTGTTGAAGGAGGAGCATAGATTTATTGGTGCCATCTGCCAGATTAAATCACGGCTGTCAGAGCTGGAACTCGTCTTTGACCCTTCTCTGGAACCCATGGCCTTTTCGCTCCTTGTTGCCCAGTCATGCATACTGCATTCGTGATGGACTGCACCACCGCTGTCCTCTCTTGCTGCTCTCTTTTTTTTAACACTGCTGGCCAGCTGACATTCTGCAGTGCTATTCTTCTAAACTACAATGTATAATCAGACTTAGATACATGGTTACATCCATCTGTTTGAAAACAATTTGTTTTGATTGATGGATTAATTATTTATTATCTCATCCACAGGTTGAGCTGCATGTGCACCTTGATGGAGCCATCAGGGTGCAGACTATTCTTGACGTTGCCAAGTAAGTCAGTTTACTATCTGCTTTATCAGAATTCTTCAATATTGTCTTCAGATTTTATGTGTTTGTACTGAGATTTAGATACACATGTTTAGATAGGTAAGAAAACGTTATTGTTCTTTTGTGTGAAAACACCACCTTTACATTTTTATTGATTAACTGTGCTTGTGAATATTGATAATTGATAAAATAAAATAGAGCACAATTGTAAAATGTCTTGGCAGGTGTATCGGAGAGCAAAATTATTACTCATTTTTACATTTATTGTGGCAGCGACCTCTAGTGGCTGTACAACGCAAACACATGATAAAGGTGGTCATGTATTATAAATACCCATAAAATTGTACAGTGGTGCCGGGAAGTTAGCTGCTTTTCACCCAGGAGACCACCGTCCAGTTCCAGCTAACTATGTTAAAGGCGTTGACAGCCCCCCATAGCCCGAAACCTTTACCCTAACCTTCACAGGGGTATGTGCCTAAACCTAAGTCAGCGTATGCATGTCAACTGGTGAACCCAACAACTGCTAGCAGATCGGCCTCACGGTTTCCACGTGTTTCTGTCATGTGATGTAGGTCACATGATTTCCAAAACGTAGGTCCAGTCGGAAAATGGAGTTCAAAATTGCCGTTTTGGGAGGCATTGACAAACGGCAACGATAGGGGCGCTATTATATATGCTCATATGAATCATATTTGGAGGGTTAAATGCCACCAGTAGGGGCGCTATTTCAGGATACGCTCATGGGAGTCGTATTTGAGGCTGGTTAAAATTACTAAAATCATGTTGGTGTTTAGGTTGGAGGACTAGTTGGTATCGGACAATATTAGCTTGTTGCAGATATCAGCTTATCATGGATATATTGTTCGGTCAATAAGTAACAAGAAATTGCAGTAAATAAATGCAAAAGATATGTTTGAGGTACTTCAGAAACATCGTTGCATTACATAGTTTTATCCACCAAAGAGCACAAGTTTGTGAAAAATGTGCACTTAGAGTAAATGTTGGTTAAAATGACTTAATAACCACATAAAAAATGTTGACTTTGTGTTATGCATTGAACTGAATATTGGTTCTTTGTTATCAGGTTTTAGTTTGGAGTCATGTTTCTGTGCGCCTTTCACTGTCCATTAAGCTCCGTTTTTTGTCTGCGCCAACTCCTGAGGGAAATATCTGGCTGTTTAGCCAGTTAAATAAAGATTTATATATTTTGGGTTAAGATGAAACAAAGTATTCATTTAAATTTCAACACTGTCCTTGAAATGTTTTTTTTTCTCTCTCTCTCTCTCTCCTCCTTTCAGGAGACGCGGCATCCCTCTGCCAGCAAATAACATAGAGGAGATGACACAGAATATTATTGTTGAGGAGCCTGCCACCCTCACCGTGTTTCTGGGGAAGTTTGCAGAGTACATGCACGTGGTTGCGTAAGTTCTGACATGTCACCTTCAATGATTCTGTTTCATTATTACCAAAGGTGTTTTCTAGTTGAGCAGGTGAAGCGTAAGGAGGAAGATTTGAGTGATTAAGAGTCAGGGTCCGCCTCATTAGTGTCACTGGAATGTTACTCCACCAAGTACATTGAGGGTCAAAGTCTAGTCATGCAGTTTGTTATCACACATGCAGTTAATTATGATATATCCAAAGTCTGTGAGTACAGTGTGTAGATTGTGACTGATGATATTGAGATGTAAAACACAGCAGGATTATGCAATGAAATTCTGTGGCATTCTATAGGGGAGGAGGGTGGTGCAGCTAGATTTAAAATGCTAGACATGCAGAAAAGGAACACATCATTATCGAGAGATCAAGTGTCACCTTGGTAACCAAACTAAGAGGAGGGGAAAGTTGTTATGGGAACCCTTTCCGGTGCCACGCTGTCTTATATTTAGTTCTCCAGTGACAGGGCTGAACTGGTAAGAAAAGACCAAGTAGTCTTTCAGATACTCAATGGCCGTGAAAGCTTTCAACAATGACGGTCTGCAGTGGCTGGACTGCAGCGCGCAGTTGTGCTGAATGAACCCTTTTGTATCAAGGCCCCCGAAAGCCTTGTGTGCAGTACGGTTTCAACAACATAGGGAACTTGCTAGCTGAGTTTAGCTCACGCAGAATTGTTGTATGAGCTTAGCTGTGGTGTGTGTTTGGAGAGGGGTAATGAGAGGACGCTGGAAAACACAGGCATTCAGACATGTGGGATGAGCATTCACTGTCAGTGTAACTGCTGGAAGTACTGTTGTCCATCATGTGACAAAAAGTGTGCTGCTGAGTCTAAAGGAAAGAGGGAAGTGGAGCTGTGGTTCTCTTAATATTTCCACATCACTACTCTGTATTGTCATGCAATACAACCATGTGGTCAGGACAGACAAAAATGTTTTTGGTCAAAAATATGATAATCTCAAGGTTAGGGACTGTTTAGGGACATTTTTGGGGTGGGGAGGGGCAATTAATCTTATATCACTTTTAAAAAAAAATCTCTCAAGTATTGGTATTTTCACTGGAAGGGCAGTAACTAAATTGTCATTATTGATTTATATACCTAATTATTTCTGGATTTTCTGTCAGAAAATTATTTTAAAAAACGCATGTTAAAGTTATTATAGCTAAAAGTGACGTCTTCAGATTGCTTGTTTTGTACAACCAGCAGTCTAAGCAGTAGTTTCTGAAGAAATTCAGATTTACTATCACATAAGACAAAGAAAGGCTGCAAATCTTCACATTTACAAAGACATAGCAAAGGAATGTTTTTGATTTGATGATTTTGCCTAAAACATTACTTAAATGATTATTTAATTTTCAAAATAGTTGCCAATTGCAGTTCTACCAAGCGGATTTGGTTTTACACACGTTTTTTTTGTATAATCAAAGCTCTCAATGTCTTGGCAAAAGTTCAGGTAACAGTGGAGAAACCAGCCGTGTGTGTGTGTGTGTGTGTGTGTGTGTGTGTGTTCAGATCACAAGGACTGAAGAACACCCGTATGCATTAATGAACTGACCATACTGGTGTTGGCTTAACAATAACAGTCAGTATGTTCATTTAAATTCACCAGTTAGAAGTAAAAGTTAATCATTTGCTTTACTGTAGTTTTGCTTTCTGCTATGATGCAGATGAAGTGACGGTGGAAACATCTGTAGTGTAAAATGACGCAGTCTGTGGAGAGATAATGTTCAACCATTAATAACTATAAAGATCCATGTCTATATCAAAACTGATAAATTGGTTCTAGTGGTGATGAGAAAAAGAACAGACCTGATACAGAGACAGGATTGTCATGGCCAAACACACCTTTATGTCCCGTGGGACGTGTATGGGGGAAATTATTTGAATAAGTAAACAGCTTAGAATGGTCATAAAGTACATTTAATGAAGCCTATAAGTCAGCGATTAGCATATCGTGCACATAGATGTGTAAGAGATGTTTAAATTAAATTGTATCATATCAGTAAAACTGTGTAAATGCCTATATTGCTCATTTTGAAAGCCATCATAGTTTAGATGATGGATTGGCAGTGGTTAATGGTTTTATTTGCGCCACTGAGATAAAAGATTATCAGAGGCAAAGGGCAATGTCATTCATTTTGCATCTTTCTTCCTTTTCAGTGGAGACAGAGAGGCCATCAAGAGGATAGCCTATGAGTTTGTTGAAGACAAAGCCAAGGAGGGAGTGATTTATGTTGAGGTCAGATACAGCCCACATTTACTGGCTAACACTAAAGTCGACCCCATTCCATGGAGCCAGACAGAGTAAGTCTTTACTTGAAAAGTTGTAGACTTTGGTGAATGTGTTGTGTTTTCGGGGAGCAATGTATTAAGTTTGGCTCATGTTTTGTTTTTCACTGTGTTTCTTCACTCAGAGGTGACCTAAGCCCAGATATGGTGGTGCAACTGGTTAATGAGGGCCTCAGCGAGGGGGAGAGGGCCTTCAATATCAAAGCCAGGTCCATTCTATGCTGCATGCGCGACAAGCCAAGTAATGAACTGTTCATGCTCCTGTCTGCCCAAACAACCTTGTGAGATAAGGTTCCTAAACTGTCTTCTGTCCTGTCTCAAAGCTCTGCCTCAGTTATTCTTATTAGATAATGAACAAGAGCACTACAGAAATCCACAATGCAGTCAGAGCAGATACATATTATAGATCCATAGGCTACTATTCTTATTGTAACCTATTCTACACATTGTTGCTATCAGGTGAAAACCATGTATCTTCAGATTTGCCATATTCACTGTCTTTTGCACATTAATATGCTAACATTTGTTAATTAGCACTAAACACAAAGTACAGCTGATGACAATGTCATTAGTTTTGCAGGACAGGACAAAGGCGCTAGAAGAAATGTCAGGGAATCACCAAATTGATTAATATTCATCCTCTTAGGACCATGGATGTCTGTACAAGATTTTATGGCAAATCTGATGTTTTAGAGATACATGGATTTCACAGGATAGTACGTATTTGTGTTATATTAGTACTTTTTAGAGTATTAGCTGTAATTGCGACAGCAGAGGCTGTGTACAGTCTAAGTTGCACCAGTAAAAGTAACTGTAGTAACATGAGTTGTTGCTATATCAGCAGCAACAGTCATGTAAGTCAGTTGCAGATCTGCGCTGCTCCATTCATGCAGCTGTTTCCTGTGCAGGCCAAAAGCCAAATGCAATTCATATCTGCCATTCTGTATTTCATGCCACATCTCTTGCAAAAAAACATGCTGTAATATCCCCGGGTGATTACATACATCCTTATGTATGAAATCTCAATGTATGGAGGATATCTGATTTTGTCATTATAGATTAGAACATGAAGTTCTATTTTAGGAAACACCAAATTCTACAAGCTGTAAGATAACTATATGCAATTAGATGTGTGTATGTTTAAACTGTATGCAGCCTAATATTTGCAGATTAATCCAGATAAAATACTATTTTAATTGTGAATACTGGGGCTGACCCCGAATAGTCGAAGAATCGATACTTCGAAGGGTCCGAGCCTGATCCGACTGTCAATCTCACAGTCGAAGCTTCGCAGCGAAACAAGGATCATGCTGTTTTGCCGATATGGGGGTGGTCAACGTCTGGTTTTACATAGAACTACCAGTTTTCTCCCAATAAGTTAATATACAGCCTATTGAAATATACATTTCAACGTTTAATGCTGTAAATAAACATGTAAAAAGAAAAAGTAACTTTCAATAAATGTTTTTAAAGTGCGTGAATATATCCAAAATTGTAATCCTATAACCCTGGGTCGTCAGTGCGCGTGTGTAGTGGTAGAAGAGGAACACTTACTGAAGAGACGGAGCCCCAGCTTCACTGTTGATGAACCACACAAAGAATATTATATCGTTTTTAAACAGCCGCTACTTATAAATAGACCCATGAGGAACCGCGACATGCATGCAGTTGTTGGCAGCACAGCATGCACGCAAAACTCTGCACAAGACCGGTGAATGGCAGGCAAGAGAGAGAGATTTACCATACAGACTTGAGAGTGCAGTCAATATTCTCATGTAAGTTGAAATGTTCCTTTAGGAACTAGTCCTGGTGACTGTCAGCCACACAAACAGGTATTACTGCATGTTGGTTAATGTTTTCTTGTGCTTGTCAAGCTGTATATTGATGCAGATGGATGCAGCATGATGCTTAGACTGTATCATCGCTTTTCATCTACACATCATCTTCATGTGTGTGTTTGAGTTGGCAGGACCAAACTGTGTAGTAATATATGTGTGTGTTTCAAATTCGCCAGGCTGGTCCATGGACGTCGTGGAGCTGTGTAAGAAATACTGCGACAAAGGAGTGGTCGCCATTGATCTGGCAGGTGATGAGTCACTCAACTGTAAAGCCAATCCAGAACACAGGAATGCCTATGAGGTGAGCTTGTTGAAACATCAACATAATAGCAACAGACAACTCTGGCAAAACATGAGGGAAATTACAAAGGTGTGGGCTGTGGCGATCAATTTGTCTCAAAAATGGTGCACATGACTGCACGTGATATGAGCACACAGAGGAGTATCGAAGAGATTGGTCACTTTCACGACCCCAGTCACCTCTACAATGCCCATAACACAATTATGTAACATCTAGACTTTAACATTAGAGACTTTAGTGCAGTTTAGTGACTCCTTAGGCTACGTGTTTACTATGTTTCATTTGGGCTAAACACAGGAATGACCAGCCTCACGTGTGACTGAATAGAAATGACAATAAATTATGTAGGCCTAAAATGTGTTTCTTGCTGACAGACTCTCGAACTCTCTCTGCCTTTAATTGTCGCTACTATAAAAGTTGATGGGAGTAATAAAATAAAGAAAAATCTTTCTTTCTTAAATGAAGAAAGTTGTGTGTGGGGCTTTTGTTGATGAGACCTACAGTTAACTCAGATTTTAACAGTGAATCATAAAACAAATCAAATTAAGACTTTGCAGTGATCAGAATCAGCTTTTATTGCCAGGTATATGTACACATACGAGGAATTTGACTCTTGATTGTACATTGCTCATGATGTGCTTACTCCTACAAAAATACAAAATCACAATAAAATAAAATAAAATCAGACACAGACTTCTGTAGACAACACAAATATACACACTATCAACAAAAACAATATAGACATATTGACAAATAGTGCAGTGAGCAGAGTGCAAAGGATGCAGGAGTATGTACATGTCGGAGGTGGATGTGACATACATGCATACATGTACACAATGCAATGAAGCATAGTGGCAAGGATGCTGGAGTAAATAAGTATTTTGTGCAGGAGTACTTGAGGTAGGTGGATTTGGTTTACAGTATCTACAATATAACCGTATGAACAGCACTGAAATAGAGAATGGTGAATAAATAACCAGTGGTAACCAGTAAACAGGTGGCTGATTAGAGACACAGTTACTGGGTTATTTCACAGGAATTGTTCCTGACACTGTGGGTCAGAAATCAGCTGTTCATCAGAGTGATGGCTCGTGGGAAGAAACTGTTCCTGAGTCTGTTGGTTTTGCCGTACAGTGCTCTGTAGCGCCTACCAGGGGGGAGGAGCTGGAACAGATTGTGTCCGGGGTGAGATGGATCTGCAGTGATGTTTCCTGCCCATTTCCTGACTCTGGAAATGTATAAGTCCTGAATGGAGGGCAGGTTGGCACCGATGATCTTTTCTGCAGTCCTGACTGTCCGTTGTAGTCTGTCCCTGTCCTTTTTGGTGTTCGATCCAAACTAGACAGTGATGGACGTGCAGAGGACAGACTGGATGATGGCTGTGTAAAAGTGGATCAACAGCTCCTTCCTGACACAGGAAGTACATCCTCTGCTGGGCCTTCTTGATGATGGTGTCCGTGTTGGGCTCCCACTTCAGGTCCTGGGATATGGTGGATCCCAGAAACCTGAAGGATTCCACAGCAGACACAGGGCTGTTGAGTATGGTGATGGGGGCAGAGTGGGGGGGCTCCTCCTGAAGTCCACGGTCATCTCCACAGTTTTGAGCATGTTAAGCTCCAGGTTGTTCTGACCGCGTCCCGGATGAGGCCGATGACCGTTGTGTCATCAGCAAACTTCAGGAGTTTGACAGATGGGTCTCTTGAGGTGAAGTTGTTGGTGTAGAGGGAGAAGAGCAGTGGGGAGAGCACACACCCCTGGGGGGCACCAGTGCTAATAGTCCGGGTGCTGGATGTGATGTTCCCCAGCCTCACCTGCTGACTCCTGTCAGTCAGGAAGTCTGTGATCCACTGACAGGTGGAGGCTGGCACAGTGAGCTGGGTGAGTTTGGTGCTGAGGATGTCTGGGATGATGGTGTTGAACGCTGAGCTGAAGCCCACGAACAGGATCCTTGCATATGTCCCTGGAGAATCGAGGTGTTGCAGGGCCTGTAATGTCCTTCAGGTGGGCCAACACCAGTCTTTCAAAGGACTTCATGACTACAGATGTCAGGGCGACGGGCCTGTAGTCATTTAGTCCAGAGATGGAGGGTTTACACTTGAGTTTAATGTTATCTGTCCTGATGTATCAGATCAGTCCAATCAATATAATGGCTACCAAATAAGGGGGCATGTCGATCCGCTCATAGCTTATCCTCGATCCTCGGGGCGCGAATAAGAGCTTTGGGACGGTCTGCAAGATGGCGGAGCGGAACAACCTCCAGTTCAAGCGAGGAGCAAGGAAACAACAAATAAGAGACTTGAGAAGCACCCATAGCAATAATCTTAATAATCATAAAGGTCAGATAAACAACAGCCTGTAGTTTAACAAGAAGTATGATTGCTGGAGAAAAAATGCTGACAGTGTAAGTACAGAAGTAGACTTCTTTCCTTGGCACTTAAGTACAGTAGGCATAATTTTATTTATAATGTATTGTGTTGTTTTAAGGTTGTAAAAAGATTTTATAGTCACAGAGTCCAACTAATGTTCCCACAGGCTGCAGGCTGATGGAGATATGGCTGCGGTTTATCGCACCAGCAACTTACAGGAATCCTTAGAATTTGTAGCTCTGTCTGTTATAACTACAGAAAGGACAGATGGCTTGTAATTGTATTACCCACACTAGTGGTTTTGGCTGTAGGGATGAATGGATTGCCTTGACATTTTTTACATTTCTTACTGACTTTGGTGATAAATTGAATTTTAATCTAGTACCGTCAGCTGGTCAAAGTTATTGCTTATCTAGTGAAATCTCAACATTTACTAGATGATTTGTGACAACATTTTGTGTAATCACGGTTCTCAGATGATGTATCTCAATGATATAGTGATCCCATGACTTTCTCCTCAACCGTGAATGTTTTGCCCTGAAATTTAGTACAGTCATTTGTGCCTGCTTAAGGATGAATTATAGCAGCTTTAGTGATCTCTTAACTTTTCATCTCGCACCATCATGGGGTCAAAATTCCAATTTGTCCAATATTTGGGTTTATGGCCAAATACCTGCAAAATGATCACATCCCCATGAACCTCATCTGTACTTGTTTAGTGCTAATTAGCAAATGTTTGCATGCTACCACATTAAACTAAGAAGCTGAACATGGGGTTAACATGTATATATATTATTGAACACATTCCTCTCCTAGAGGTGATACCATTTCACAGACTTGGTAAGAAGATACTGAAGGCCTGATCTATGCTCTATGCACGCCCTCTGTTACCATGGAGATGTACCTTTTGTCATAATGCCCAACTTTGTGAAACAGGTTTGAGCTCAGGTGTCACAGCTGAGTTTTTCATTTCTCCATTTTTCATTGTCAGAGAATAGTCTTAAACTGATGAGGACTTAAATGTCTATGTAGCCAACACAGTATATGGAAGTAAAATCTAATGCTCTTACGCTCTGAGGCTTCTCAGAAAAATCCTATTTGGTTTTCAGCCAGAATTTATTGATTAATTCTGAGAATACTACAGTAAGTAATCAACTTTGCCTGTCAGACCATAATGAATGCGGTAGATTAATCAAGTAATACACTACAGCACTGGATGTGGACCAAGTCTTAGCTGTAATTAATTGCTTACATGGGGACAGTTCATACTCTTGCAGTCCTTTTTACAAATTACATTTTATACATTTTTCACTACTATGAAAATGAAAACTGTTGGAAGTTAATTGTTCTTATCAAAATTTGACACTAACACTAACCACCAGCTAACAACAGAATAGTCTGGACTCACACAGCTGTTGATTGAATGTTAGTGGCCTCCAACCAGTATTAATTTATGACTTCATTTTAAATGATTGTTAAATTAATTTTATAATTGTTTTTTAAGTTTTACAGGTTTACTATGTAACAACTGTCCAGGGACTACATATGAAAAATAGTCTTTTGGCTAACCCTGGTGCATTTGCATCTGTGCTTATTAATGTGCATCATAAACTAAAAAAAAATCCTGAGCTGTTGCTGCGTGATGGTTTACAAATGCAGCACATATTTTGTTGACTTGCTCCTTATCCATCCAAAGCAAACATCAGTAGTGACGTAATACCATTCAAACAAATTGTCAATAATTATAAGCTACTATACTATAATAACTATCTCCACACTCAGTTTTAATTTGTGTCAAATGTATTTTTTTTCTATAACCTTATTTCGTCTATTTGTGTGTATTTATGTGTGTATGCAGGTTGGTATTTGTATGTATAAAATACAATTTCATATGTGTTTTTGTGACAAAAATTGACAGTTTACTTTCTTGTATGCGTACAGTATATGATTTTGTATTCAAGTATTTTCTGTTTAATTTTTCCTTGTAACGCACTGTAATATCTGATTTTGACAAGTGCCATATAAATACATTTTATTATTTTATTATCATAAGACTATAGTATATTATTTATATTGCTCATTTCTCCAGAAAAGTATTTACAGAGGTTTTGAAAAGCTGAATCGATATTGGTTGAAGGAATGAAAACATGCTTCAATTATTAACAAGAAGCAGAGCTCACAGAGCAGAGTCCACACTAATATTGTTAACTATCTCTATAAATACATGACCTCTAGATATAACAGTGCAGACTGAGCAAGCCAGACTTGATGTGTCCAAGGGTAAGAATGCTAAAATGAAAACAGATGTCTTGGCTGCCAGCGCAGAATGTGGATTTCTTACATTACATCACAGTTCTAAAGCAACATCTTTTTCCATCTGAAACAAAGCAAGCTTGTACAAAAAAAACCTTGCTAGATGATAGAAGGCGCCTCAGTAGATGCTGCAGGATCGCAATGTGAAAGCCAGATGTTTGGCTGTGCTGTTTAGTTGCTGATGTGTTCCATGACTGATTGTGTTGACAGGAAGCGGTGCGTTGCGGCGTCCACAGGACAGTCCATGCAGGAGAGGTGGGCCCGGCATCGGTGGTGAAGGAGGTAAGCCATTCAGCAGAAACACAAGACATTTCTGAACCCTGAGGTGGAGTCATCTGTGGAGCTTGTAAACAGAAACTAAACAAAACAATGAACTCACGCACTAATAATGGAAATGAGTCAGAGATACAAAAGAAACAAGAACAGAGGATTGTGTTTGCTAGAGATTTTCATTTATGCGTTGAGAAATTTGCAACAACAAAGCACAAAGGAGTTCACAAACATATGCAAATATATCTATGTGTAGATGCAAAAACTGTGAAAATAATTTTTTTACTGCTTATGTTTATCTCAGCAGTTACGCCTCAACCCCTTAAGTGTAAAACTACATGTCACACTGGGCGATGGCTGCCATAAGAAGTGGCCACTCTCTAGAGAAGCAGTCGTCCACAGTGACAGTTCAGCTTTGCCACAACAGTTGCGAGTGTATCTCTAGAAATAGCCAGTAGATTCTGCTGACGTGTACTACATGGAGGATTTTTTGTTGTTGTTGTTGTTGTTGTTGTTTATAAACTTTTGAATCCACCTCGTGTGAACCCTGTCGGATTTTTAGGCTGTAGAAGTGCTGAAAGCTGAACGGATTGGACACGGTTACAGAACCCTGGAAGATCATGCCCTGTACCAAAAACTGCTGGCTGACAACATGCACTTTGAGGTAAGGAACCATCCAGATTTATCAGTTTTCATAAGAAAACCGCCAGCAAGGTTACTAATTCCTGCAGAAATGTGCCTGTTATCTATTAAACATACTGTTCACTGTTCATCATTACACACTGCTCATTCTAATCGTTACAGAAAGAAAGTGGGGTTGTTTTATCAGGTAATTACATACAGTAGTTGACTAACACATTGATACAGTACCTACCAGTAGTAACACAGGGATATGCTGACCCCTAGTGGAGCCTTAAGTACCACAACTGGAAGAAGAAAGACTGCAAGAACGAGGTTTCAGTGCTGCCTGTGCTGTTCTCATTGCAGGTGTGTCCTGTTTCCAGTAAGCTGACTGGTGCCTGCCACCCAGACTACGCCAAGCATCCTGTTGTCAGGTGAGCTGTGTTCATTGTACATGGAAATGAACCTGCATTAAAGTAGATTTTGGGCATTTTTATTCATTTTTGTTTGGATTTCACCATTTCCTTTGTGCAGGTTCAGGGAGGACCAGGCAAACTACTCCCTGAATACAGATGACCCTCTGATCTTCAACTCAACCCTGCAACTCGACTACAGCATCGCGCACAACTACATGGGATTCACTGAAGAGGAATTCAAACGAGTGGTGAGATCAAATGCAGTAATAAATAGTAACAGCAGTGGTTCACAGGATGAAAGCTTTTTAAGATGGTTTGAAATGATAGCACGTGGTGTGGATGCCCCGTGCATAGCAATGCCTTTCTCAGTTGCTAATTAAAGCAGGAACAGAAGCTTACGTAAAAGAAGCGTCCCTCTGCATGCTGAAAAGCCTCAGATCCTTTATTTTGTTAAAACAATGTGTGAAGAGCTCTGCTTCACATCCAGGCTCCATCAAGCTTTCATGTGGATTAGATTTGCAGTAGATCATTAAAGGAATAGCCTGACAAAAATATGCTGATTTGTTCACTTGACAAGAGTTAGATTAGAAGATCAATACCACTCATGTGTATAATGGATAAAAAGCCACCAGCAGGTTAGCGAAACAAGGAGGAAACAGCTAGCCTGGCTCCATCCAAAAGCAACAAAATCTGCCCACCAGTGCCTTTAATGCTCATTAATGAACACGTTATATCTTGTTTGTTTAACCAAAGTATAGAAACAACACGTAGTTTTGGGGTAGGCAATGTGCTGGACTGTTTCCTGACAGGGAGCAGTGACTTTTGGTAGTCTTGTCATCGGTGTGAGGTTGTCAGGCGACCAGCTGTTACTAGCCGTTTTCTCCTGTTTCCAGTCTTTATGCTAAGCTAACTGCCTGCTGTAGTCACCGACTGTGTAGTTAAGATGGGCGATCGCACCACCATTCAGCTGAGGCATTCAGCGCTGTTTCTGACTGTCTGGTTCAGTTCAGTATAACGCTAGCCTGTACAAGCACTGTTATCCAATCATGATTTGTTTGCGTGGCTTTGGCTGTCTTTTGATATGCTTTTAACAAGGTCATAACATAATAACTCAGTTACTAGTGAGGAGCTCTACTAAAAGCTACTGATTTTGTCAGTGACAGGTGACAGATTAATTGTTGGTACATATACTGAACACTTGTAGTAGATGTATTTTGCTACCTTCATACTAAAAGGTAAAGTGGCTAAGTTAAACCACCTGTAGTGTCATATTTACAGTACAAACAAGAGTGGTATACATTCTTTCATCTAACTCTCTGCAGGAAAGTGGATATTTCCCAAATTGCTCAGCTATTCCTTAAAAGGTGAACTTATAAGTAAACTGGAAGCACACTAATGGCCACCGTATTGGCTTCTTGTGTTTTCTAGAACATCAATTCTGCAAAGTCGTGCTTCCTGCCTGAGAAGGAGAAGAAAGAGCTCCTCGACAAGCTGCATGAGGCCTATGGGATGAAAAACACGACTGCCTTTTAAACCTGACAAGGAAATCTGAGGAAGAAGTGAACCCAGGGGAAAATCCGTCTGAACCTCGCCACCTGACAAAATGGAATGTCTTTTTCCTCATTTGTAACCAGACATAAAGGCTAGAAAATAATCAAATATGCTGTTTATCATTCTTGCTGCTGCCTTCACCATACATACCTGAACATCAACAGCTTTGTGTTTTGTTAGTATTCTTAGAGACCTTAAATACTTAAATTTACAGTGTAGTTCCAGAGGAAGTCGCGGTGGTTCGCAAGGTGCAAAAAACAAAGGCGTGCAAGTGTTTTGTCTTGATGAAGTAGATTTTGTTGTATGAAAACTCATTCAAAACTCATTTCATTCATCTTGTGTTTACATTCTGTTTTCATGAAGAGAATCAGGGAAGCTTTTGATGTAAACTTACTCAGCAATCATGAACAGCTTTAACACTTTGTCAGACTGTAAGTTAAGGATAAGGGAGGTTTTATTAGTTGTTCATCTTTGTAATAGCTTAACCATTATGGCGTCCTGAACATCTTTGGGTGAAAACATGTGATGGAGGATAATTGAAAGCTGGTGGAAAGGTGAAGAACTTACTACCTATGGGGGGAAACATGGTTTACTGTGAATATCCGTGGTTTGGTTTGCGGGTGAGGTAGGGTTGTTAGAAAATTTGTTTGCTTTTTGCCCTCCATACATTAACTGCAGGACACATCAGGTAAAACAGCTCAATACCAAAAGTCTAGTCTTACATCTGAACACTAGGTGGCACACAACTGTCACCTTGATAGACAAAACAGTTTACTTAATGTGGTTTTACATTTCGTAATTATTCTCTCAATTATTTTGATGTATATTTATTTTTTTCACTAAATAAAAAAAGCACAACCATTTGTAACAGACCTATTGAACACTTGATAAGCAACTTTAACCATAATAAAAACATTATGAAATGTTTCTCCATGTCGACCTATTCCTTAATGCTCATAATCTGCAGTAACTTCAAAAGAGTTTTCCAAGCCAGTCCTTATAAGAATCGTCATTTTGATATAAAGTCATCTTAGAATTATTACAGTTAAAGAGGAAATTAGTCAAGTCTGATGCCATTGGAGAGGGGGGGAAAAAAGCACAGCTTTACAGATTAACTGCTCTGTCATCCTCCGTTTCTTTACTGTATAGAGATAAATATGAACACTGGAGCCATGCTAGGTGGAAATGTAAACACGGACTTCCTGTGGCCATTCAAATGTACACAAAAAGCTGCATTTAATAATATTTATGGCTCTGGAACGACTCAGCGCTACACTCGTTAATCCTGGCTGGCTGGGGCTCACCACCTTTCCAGCTCTTTTAACTGCTGTGCTCAATACAACAGAAACCTGCAAACTGCCTTGCATGAGAAGATATTTACGCTTGAAACATAAAATACAAATGTTACAGTAATTCATGTGTATTTTATTACACAAAGAAAATTGCTATCACAAAGTTATCACTGAACATTAAGCAATAAATATGAAGTCTGAACACGACAGTATAACGCATTATGTTTGACTATGTTTGTTTACTAGGAAAGAAAAGACTTGACAATGAAATTGAAGAAGAGGGTCACAAACACACGCATACACAGAAAGAAAATGACCAACAGAGGATTATGAATACGCCCTCTATGACACAGTCCCATATTAGGCTGGAACAATGTTTCGAATGTTATAAATGAATTCTGTTCAGCTCAGTCCATCTCCACAGACGTAAATCCAAAGTTTCTGTGCTTTCTTGTCTCGTTAGGAATATAAATGACTTACGTTTACGAGTATGAAGCGCATCTCAGATATCACTTCTACTGTGTTCTGCTCCCCATGATACAATCTGATCCAATGAAAAGGCGTACATTTGGGCCACAGAAGCTCCAAACAGGCTGGCAGTGAGCGAACATGTCCTCATGTCTAGTTAGGACAACCAATATACACTCTCTCCTCCCTTTCTCCATGTCTCTCCACTTTCACTTGCTTCCTTCTCTACTTTTCAATCCACGGCTCTGCCTCCTTTCGGTCTCTGGCTCAGTTTAGGATGGGCCTCCACTTCCCTGGGCATCTTGGCTGGTAGAGCCCTCTGCCTCAGGGGCTGGGGTGGCCCCTGGGTCCCCTTCTGGAGGAAAACAAGGGAAACATTTTTTATTTATTTTTTTAAGAAAAAGGACAAAAAATAAATAAAAATCTGTCAAACATAGTGTATATTATCAAGCTCAAAAGTAGTTTGGCATGTCTAACAGAGGGCAATGCGTCTGCTTTCAGGCTCCACACAGAAAAAAAATGAGAATCCTGAGGAATGAACTACAACTTCCTGTAGCAACACAGTGTCAAGCATGATATGATGCATGATAACGTGAGGCTTCCCACCAGACCAGCATTAGAGTGGTTTGATATACAGCAGTCAAATTGCTTATGTCATAGGAAATGTGTCTTTGACAGAAAAGGAAGAATAACGATGTAAGACGGTCAACACTGGGAACATTTGCGTCATCTTCAGACGTGTTCCTCTTAACAACTTGACACTGAGATTAGAGGAAGCAAGGACAAATTGTCATTGCGCCGCCGTTACGACTCATTTAACACTGAGGCAACAAAGCACAACAATCAAATCTCACTGACACTGCAAGCGGGGCAAAACCACCTGTTTGTATTTATTTATTTTGGTGCATTTAGGTCCAGGGGCCAGTCACACTTTGACTATTAGTTTGAGCTAAATTATAGTCAGAGTTAAGATAGACAAATTAATTGTTGCACAGACAAAGCTGTCTAGTTCTTGACTATCTTCTGGAGGATGAACTTCACTCAAACAGGAAAATGTTTGCCATCTGTAATAATTGAACAACCACAAAAGACATATTGGAAGGAAAATCCAGTAACACAGGGCAGACATGTAGCAGAGATGAGATGCTGTGGATTGTTACTGTGGCAGAGCTCAGTACTTCTGCTAACTCAGTCAGCTCAGGGTAGTTTGGTCAAATGACTGGTGATCTGCTCACTGCTGTATATTTCCAACGAGTTACTGGAGCTTCTACAGACTCTTTTCTTTCTTAATAATTCCATAGCATTGTTAGCAAACCACAAATTACTGTATGAGCCGTGTTTTCCTCGTTTTTTTCAAATGGTGTCACTGGTTAGCAGATGTCATTGGTGTATGGTATATACACCATACATACATACATACATACATACATACATACACACACACACGTATTCAGATGATTTACTGACCTGCAGCCTTCAGGTCCATCTCTGCCAGGTCTTTGGTGAGTTCACTGGTGCTGGCTGCTACTTCCCCCTCCCCTGCGATGTCGGGTACTGCGTTCCTGCGGCCTGTGCGATCACAGTTGATGAAGTCTGAGTACGACGTCTCCACGTCCATCATCTGTCCATGACCAGTGCTCTCATTACACCTGCCAGAGGGAGGAGGGGGAATTCAGGCGGCTGCGGAGGTGTTGCAAGAAGCAAATAAATCACCCTGCTGTCTTGGTCTGCAGGACCCGTGGGAGGATGTTACACTGTGTCCTGTGAATTTCTACTTCAGGAGAATCAACGTGATACACAGGAATACTGTGGCTAGAGAAATAAAAAAAGTAAAGCCGCACAGTGCTGAGCTATTTAAGAGGAAACTGAGGATGCAGAGTGAGAGAGTGGGCAGAAAGGAGACAATTCAAAATCACTTCCACAACCTGAAAGGCTGATGGCTGAGAGAGAATTAATAAAAAAAGAAGAATGAAGGTGTTAATAATTGCCATCCTATTTCTGCACAGCGATTAATGGCACTACCGACATCTGTGCTAATTGGCTGTCCTAATTACATCAGGAAAAACAAAAAGCTGCTCAAATCTCTATTGCATAGCCATACCCATCTACAAGAGACCATTTGTCTGTCCTAAAGGTACTTACACAGCAAGGAAAGAGCACTGATCAATATGGAAAGCAAGAGTGAAAGAGCTTGAAACCATGCAAAGGAGAGGCAGAGGTGGGGCCAGAAAGAGCCCAAGCTAAAAAGTAAGAGCTCCTATTAGCTATTCATTCCTCTTCTGTTTCCTGTTCTCTGTCCATTTTTAACTAGGTCATGGATCTTGCCAAACTCTAAAACACTATACAGCTGGTAATTCCTCAGAGAGAAGAGAACATAAAATAAGACTGCTTAAGAAAAAAAGAAAGGAAGAGAATTGAAAAGATAAGAAAGCAGTAGTAATCCTGTGATGCAAAGAAAGGGAGAAGGAAACCTAGAGTCACTGTATCAGACTGTAAATGTCCTCACAGCTGTTCCTCTCCTACTGAAGATCCCCCACAGGCTAGCACAGATAGATTAGCCCTCACTGCTGTCTATGGGCAACCCAACTAACTACATTACAGCTCCAGACATACCCACTAATAAAGCATGCAACACTTCAGCTACAACCGAACAGCTGAGCAGCGAATCTATGTATCTTTAAGAAACATGCGGGGGTTGGGAGTCTCAAAAGGGAAACAAGAGAAAGAATGAGAGGAATAAAAACAAGCTGGCAGACACAGCTACGACACGCTGACCCAGGGCCAGTCTGTTCCCCAACCTCTTTCACTCACATTCTTTTAGTATCATTCAAAAAAGAAGTTGAAATTGTTTTATTTCTCTTATGTGCAGCATGCGTGCTCCATGCCAAAAAAGGAAGCACCCGGGGTCATTCCCTGAGAGGTCACGAGTCACACCGCCCTTCGCTGCAAACGTGAAATTTGCAGTGAAGGGCAAATCTTTAAGCCCCTGTAAGAGCGGAACCTCAGGAAATGTCAGTGAGTTCTGGGCTGCTGGCATTTCCCTGAGTGCTTCTACTAAACACAAGAGCCACTCTGTATTCCAGACTGCAGATGGTGGTGTGATCCTCTGATGAGATTGTCATCTAGATAGCCGGGATGTATAGTCATTAGTAAGCCAAATCGCCGTGGGAGGCTAGTGTCTCACAGGTTCATAATTACACCTACAGTACTACCTTTTCCACAACATTAAGTTCAGACAGCTGAGGCTTTCACTAACCACTAATCAGTACTGAACAATTTAATGAAAATATCAGATTGCGATTTTTCTGAAAAATGTTGTGATTGTGATAAATTCAACTGCAGTCCAGGACTGTGTTTGATAGATAGATAGATGTCACCGCACCATTCATAACCACACACATATATCTTGTTTGCACTTTTTTAAAATGGTTAAAGAAATGTGCCTGATTTCTACAGAACAAAAAAAAACAAACGTAATTTTAGCTCACTTTTTAGATAAAACAACATATATGCAGACATTTTATCGACCAAATGACTGATCAGTTGCACCATAAAATAATAACAAAGAAAAAGAGCATTGGACAGAGCCAGGCTAGCTGTTTCCTCCCGTTTTCAGTCTTTGTGCGAAACTAAGCTAACTGGCTGTTGGTTGTAGCTTCATATTTACTGCACAGACACTGACCCTCTCATCTAACTCTCAGCAAAACAGAAAATAAGCAGCTTACTGAAAATGTCAAACTATCCCCTCCTATGAATATAGGATATGAAAATTTCACAATAATCAATATAAAAACAGCCTAACTTCTAATCAATGCATTTTCTACACAGAAAGATTTGATTAGAAAATCCATCTTGACTATTAAACACCAGCACTGGCTGTGTATCTGGTGCAGCAATGATTTTGTTTGTGTGCTGCATTATGTTTGGCTTTTTCTACCCCATTGGCCTAGTTGTTATGTGGCTTATGGGAGCCCCATCTAATTGCCATTTGTTTGTTTAATTAGTCGGCTTGCGTGCGCTTGAGGATCTAATCCTACCATGAGATCATTAACAGGTTTCCATGGAAGGATGACGATGATAGTGGTGATGATTTTCTGCCTCCTGGTCTTCGGCACGAGTTCACGCTCTTCTCTGTTTGACTGCCTGGTCTCAGCTGTGGTAGATGCAG